TGGAAATTGGGGAATGTGAGAATTGGGGAATGTTGGAATTGGGGAATGTTGGAATTGGGGAATGTGGGATCTGGGGAATGTGGGAATTGGGGAATCTGGGAATTGGGGAATGTGGAAATTGGAAAGAGTGGGAATTGGGGAGTGTGGGAATTGGGGAGTGTGAGAATTGGGAAATGTGGGAATTGGGGAATGTGGGAATTGGGGAATGTGGGAATTGGGGAATGTGGGAATTGAGGAAAGTGGGAATTGGGGAATGTAGGAATAGGGGAATGTGGGAACTGGGGAATGTAAGAATTGGGGAATGTAGGAATTGGGGAATGTGGGAATTGAACAATGTAGGAATTGGAAAACTTAAAAATAGGAAAATTTGTAAATAGAAAAATTTGCAAATTAAAAAATTTGAAAACTAATTAATCCAGAAAATAATAAATACAGAAATCTATAAACCTTGAACCACCCCAAAATAACCCTTCTACCTCTCCAACTATCCACACCTAAAAAACCCATCAACATAGAAACACAACATAGAAACACAGAACTAAAAAAACATTTAGCTTTCCGTAACAAAAATTCCCTAGAGGTAGAGTCGTAGGAAATTCAATAGCGCGGAACAAGTTTGACGGAACAAAGCAAAGCGAACACGAGTTTTCCGTCGCGTTCTTAACACGTTTTTTCAACGTTTTCAAACGCAAGGTGAAAGCAGAAACTCCGCGCCCTATCTGTCTGTCCGTCAAACACGCTCGCGGTGTTCTCGCCGCGTCGTAATTCCTCGCGAGTTTTATCCGCTCGCTTGTTAATTTCGTTCCGGCCGTCGTCGCGCGTGTGCTTCCTTCAACCGCGCATAAACGATTTTCTTTTCTTTCCTCCTCTTTTATTTATCGATCCTTTTTTCCCCTCCATCGAGAGACGACGTACGACTACGTGTCAATTCCTCGACTCGAAAATTACATGCCTGGAAATTCGAGTTTCACGCGCTTGATTTATGCTAACCAATTGATTTTTTACGCTTCTTGTTTCTTTATTTTTTTGCTTCGAACATGCTGTTCACGATAGTAAGTTTGTTGATGCTTCAGATTGAAATTTTAGAGATGTTTCACTTTTGTGAGTGATGAAATTTTATCAGGACGCACTCTTCATGCACTTATGACGCTCTCGTGACGCACTCAAGACACACGTGACGCACTCGTGACACACGTGACACACTCATGACGCATTCATGACACACGTAACGCACTCATGACGCACATGTGACGCATGTGATAGAAATATTTATTTAATAAAAATGTATTCCTAATAAAAATATTTTTGTTCTTTAACAATATAGGAATTTGACAAAGAAGAGATTAATATATTCCTACCTAGCATTTGGGAGAAAATTGATGTGTCAGAAATATTTAAATAGAATAGAACAGTATAAAAAAAGTGAACGAAATGTTTCAGCAAGAATAGAAAAAATGTTGCGAAAGAGAGTATTCGGGCAATTACAGAGGCACAGACAAGGTGGTCCGTTATGGAAGAACTTTCCTCTCGGCGTATTAAGTCGGCCGCGTTATTGATTACGCTCCGTTATCGGCGCGTCGAATCGGCCGGTATAAATATATATCATTTACGTGCGAACACCCACAGGCAGGCGGTCTCCTGCCACGGTGAAAATTATTTATTACCGGATCATAGAGCCGCGGTGATTCTTGGCCACGGGCTGTCCCCTCCCTCCCCCGAGCCCAGCCCTGTCTCTGCCGATGACATTTTTCTCTCCTCCGAATGATTTACAACGATCGCGTAAATGCTCGTCGCACCGTCGGTCCCCGGAAATTTCCACGGAACACCCTCTGGTTCCGATCGATCGCTGTTCCCGGCTACCGCTGTCTGCAACGGCATTCAGACTTTCATTCCGATCGGAGAGGGTTGCAAGAATGAGACGAACAGGGAGACGTGTTTCATTCTGCGTTTAATTAGGGGGCTGAAGGTGTGGCTGTGTTTCTTCTGCCACACGGATTTTCGGGATGGGATCCCTTTGTGGAGGAGCCTTTTACGCGGATATGTGGGTTATGGAGGGTTGCGAGGATGTCACATTCTGAGAGGAAGTTTTTCCATTAGGGTATTGGTACTTAGGAGCGATAAATTAGGTTTCTATAGCTGGGTTACAATTTTGAGATTTTGAGATTTTCGAGTTTTGGCATTTTGGGATATTGGGATATGAAGATTTTGGGGTTTTGGGATTCTTGAACTTTAAGGGCATTAAATGATAGGGTACTCCATATTATAGCAGAGTATGCATTATAGCACAGTATAGCAGAGTGAAGAGTGCGTCACGAATGCGTGTACAATGCGTCATGAGTGCGTCACGAATGCGTGTACAGTGCATCACGAGTGCCTCACGAATGCGTATAGAGTGCGTCACGAGTACGTCACGAATGCGTGTACAGTGCGTCATGAGTGCGTCACGAATGCAATCAGAGTGCGTCATGAGTGCGTCGCGAATGCAATCAGAGTGCGTCACGAGTGCCTCACGAATGCATATAGAGTGCGTCACGAATGCGTCACGAATGCGTCACGAATGTGAGTAGAGTGCGTCGCGAGTGCGTCACGAATGCATATAGAGTGCGTCACGAATGCGTCACGAATGCGAGTAGAGTGCGTCGCGAGTGCATGTACAGTGCGTCATGAGTGCGTCACGAATGCAATCAGAGTGCGTCATGAGTGCGTCGCGAATGCAATCAGAGTGCGTCACGAGTGCCTCACGAATGCATATAGAGTGCGTCACGAATGCGTCACGAATGTGAGTAGAGTGCGTCGCGAGTGCGTCACGAATGCATATAGAGTGCGTCACGAATGCGTCACGAATGTGAGTAGAGTGCGTCGCGAGTGCGTCACGAATGCATATAGAGTGCGTCACGAATGCGTCACGAATGTGAGTAGAGTGCGTCGCGAGTGCGTCACGAATGCATATAGAGTGCGTCACGAATGCGTCACGAATGTGAGTAGAGTGCGTCGCGAGTGCGTCACGAATGCATATAGAGTGCGTCACGAATGCGTCACGAATGTGAGTAGAGTGCGTCGCGAGTGCGTCACGAATGCATATAGAGTGCGTCACGAATGCGTCACGAATGCGAGTAGAGTGCGTCGCGAGTGCATGTACAGTGCGTCACAAGTGCGTCCCAACATTACAAAAGAATCAATTCACATTACGCTATTTCGAAAGTAATAAATATCCGCACAGATCATCAAGAGAAACGATGAACGATTTTAATCCACACAATCGCGAATGCCAGAAGCGTACTCGCTGTTCCTGTTGACGTGGATAGTTTGCGTCACGCCATTTCTTGTTCCAAATATTTCATTTCTGGTGACGTTCGACAGGATGTATCTGTCCCATAGTAATCAGCGAATTATGCAAACCCTTGAAAAGGTGTCGGGATTTGATCCGTTGATTACGCGTAACACCTGTTCGACACACTTTTACCGCCGCTGTCTTTCTTCACTTTTTTTTTTTTTATAGAAGCTTGAATAAATTTCGCAGGGAGCGTCGACATCGATTTTAATAATGCTAATCTCACTGGCGACCTTTCATGTCCGCTTTGCGACACACCAATTGTCTACGATCCGTTAACTTTGTAGGCTACATATTTCCTGCTCGACTGTAATTATTCTACGCTGAATTTTCACTGGGCTTTTTCGCAATGTAATTCAATATGGCCGATGTCTTTAATTCGACTTTGAAGATTTGCTATTTTGAGGATTTACTGTTTTGAGGATTTACTGTTTGTTAATTTACTTTTTTAAAGTTATGATTTTGGGTGGAATTATGTGGAAGTTATGTTATAAGTTTGAGGTTAACCTAACCTGTCTGGACAGTGCGTCATGCAGTGCGTCATAAGTAATTATTTATTCAAGGAGCCTTGATTATGCAGAAAATAGTCAGAATTGAAGGCAAACTTCAATTGCACATGTTCCAATTCCACATGTTCCACTTCCACATATCCCAACTCCACATATTCCACTTCCACATATCCCAGCTCCACATATCCCAATTCCACATATTCCAATTCCACATATCCCAATTCCACATATCCCAATTCCACATATCCCAATTCAGAATTGAAGGCAAACTTCAATTGCACATGTTCCAATTCCACATGTTCCACTTCCACATATCCCAACTCCACATATTCCACTTCCACATATCCCAGCTCCACATATCCCAATTCCACATATGACTAACTCCACATATTCCAACTCCACATATCCCAAATCCACATATCTCCAAATCCACATATCCCAATTCCACGTATGACTAACTCCACATATCCCAACTTCGTGCAGAAAATAGTCAGAATTGAAGGCAAACTTCAATTGCACATGTTCCAATTCCACATGTTCCACTTCCACATATCCCAACTCCACATTCCCAATTCCACATATGACTAACTCCACATATCCCAATTCCACATATAACTAACTCCACATATCCCAACTCCACATATCCCAAATCCACATATCTCCAAATCCACATATCCCAATTCCACGTATGACTAACTCCACATATCCCAACTTCGCATATGACTAACTCCACATATCCCAAATCCACATATCTCCAAATCC